CGTCGGAACGAAGTTACGGAAAATCAATTAACAAACGGAGACGTAACAATATTTAAAATATAAATGTCCTATCATAGAAAACAAAAAGGTCTATAAACTGTGAAAATAGCTTAATTTTAGTTAAATATATAATTATTATGTGGTTAGACTGAAAATAGAGAATCATGACTATTAAACTTCAGTGTGGTTAGAAGTAGTTTAGGGGTAAATGGGATGGAATTTATAAGGTGCAACAGATGCCAGGAATGGGTTATGATTGAAAACTGTGGGCTTGATTGAGACTTTCAGGAGACTCAGAAAGAAACAGTACCATACACTTGCAGAGCTTGATTACTTGAGGATAAGTTAAAGATGGCTTTTGGGAAGATTGCATTATTAGAGGAGGAAAATATCAGATTGGGAGAAAAAATCAAAGACGCAAGACAAGAATTGGACAGAGTTAAGTTGAAGGTTGATTTGTGGGAGTGACATAGACAAGGCCAACCGTGATGGTAATGTATTCAGCCAATGCCTGAGTGAGTGATAATAAATTCAACCTATAAATGAGCTGAAGCTAATTGAACTAGTTTGTTCTGGTAATTGTAGTGTGAAGAAGGGAGGAACAAATAATCAATGAGCTGATGAAATCATATGTTAGTATGTAAACATTATCCTTATCTGAAAATGTATTTCACATAGATACCTCTCTGCACCACAAAGAGCTATTACTTCATATGCACTACCATGTAATTTCTTGCACATTGCCAAAAGCCATGAATAAGGCTCCCAACTCTACATATGTCAATGTTTATAGCACCATCCTATGATGTAATCATCACTAAACTGTAGCACTCCACCAACAGAAGATGATGCATCCTCCTTATGCAGTAATCCCCACTAGCACTTGAATACAGGTTCATTCCTGACAAGGCTAACTAAATGCACAAAAACTGGGGAGGAAGGGTTGGAGGTGGTGAAGACAGAGATGAGTATCTATCAGAAACATTTTCAGGTAAGAAAAGTGTCAATTTTAGAAAAGCTGCTCACCTCTCTGTACCACAAAAAGCTAGAATACCACATTGAAGATGGTGGAGAGACTGGTGCATAGAAATTACAAAGATGAACTCCTTTCTGAAAACAACCTTAGAAATGGAGTATGACACCCATGAGGCTGGAGGTAGCTTAATGGTGCAGCACTTGGCGGAAGACCACATCCATCTCAAGTGGGGGATACTTTTTGCCTAACAGTTAATTGGATTACACTGTAGAGTGATGGGCTTAAAAACCAAAGGTTGTTACTAATAGAGCCCAGTCAAACTGAACCCTTGTTATTAATGAAGTGCCTTGTGGGATAGTGCTTAAGCCTTTGCTTTTTCTTATTTACATTATTGACAATAATAAGGGCATAATCAGTGAATTAGTGAAGTTTATTGATGACATTAAACTCTTGCATACTTCTAGCTCTACTACATATGTTTAGGTATTACAGAATGACTTAGTACAATTGGTAAGACATATATATATGAAATTAAAGGAAATTTGCAAAATATTTGTCTAAGTGTAAAGTAATGCATACTGGTTATCACAATTTGTATCACATATTTAACATAGATGCAAACCATATCAATAAGGAGTAAAGGATCTTAACATGATCAACTGTAGCTTACAAGGTTATCCAGAGATTGAAAGGATAAAAGCCTCTAATTTCTTTGTATTATATTCTGAATATAACACAACAAAAAAGCATAAGTTTAACATTTGAAAAACACAAACTAGGCTCTAGTTAACAGTTTTATCTTTCTAACTGGGTAACTGACTTCTGAAATAATTTGTAGTCAACAGTAATATAGGCCAACACTTTACAGAAGTTTAAGAGGGGAATCTAGGATTTTACGAAAAATAAAGGGTAGGTTTAAATTTTTACTCTTCTCAAAGGTGGGTATGAAAAGACATCCCTGCCACACCACCAAATGATCCCTTGTCCCTAAGTATGTTACCCAAGAAATCCAGTTCTCTACACACACACACACACACACACACACACAATTCTTACTCAAGAGATGTCTGTTTTACCCAAGAAATAGCTATTGTATATATTCAAGCATTTTTTTACTATGAAAGAAATGTCCATACAGGTACTATACAAAAATGTCATTCTGATTCAAGAAATACCTGCCATATTTTTAGATCTAAAATTTGGTAAATCATGTTATAAGGTTAATTTAAAACAGCTAAGAAGAGTACAATAATTCAATGTATAACACAAATTGACTCACTAGAGCTCCGAGTCTGGTGCTTTTACCAACTGATCTATCAGGGCTCAAACCCTAACCTAAACATAAAATTATCCCTCCTAACCATTACAGTCTGCATACTGAATGTCATTTTATCATCAAGAATATCACTTGTCTATATTTTTATAGCCATTAGTACTAGTAGTCATTTAACCACCTTGAAAAGTTTTCTTTCGTCAGAATAATCATTACTTGTCAAAATTTAAAGTAATTTGATTAATAAATAAATAAGTAAGTAAATCCATTTTAGGGATTTTTTTTTAAAACAATTGGCATTTAACTCCAAAAACGACTAAATTTATAAAACTGTGTGTTCATTTCTGGCCAAACATCTCTCCAAAATATAATGTAATTTCCAACATACCTCTGTAAAATATCCCCTAAACGCTCGGATGAATCGGCGTCACAATTATTGTATAAATCTTCTTCTTCCAATTCTTTATTGGAACCCTTCAGGAAAAATGGAATAACCCACCTATAAAAAAAATAAAGTGACGTTCATACCAAAGATGCATGTCCAAGAATGTGGACATATTACTTGAAGTTGAGATGAATGAACGCATAATTATATGAAATATTAAACTCTTATACAAACAAAAAACGCATTTCTTGACAGCGAACTTTATCATTCCAGCTTCCACTGCCTCCTTAATGTCTAGACCCTTTATTGGATATAACTGGTGCTAAAGCTGTAGATTAACACTGTTGATGGCGCCTTCGTATTAGAATATACCAAACAAGTAGAAACGCTGCAATGCAGGTTATTTATATAGCACAGATTTCTTAGTAAAATACATAGGCAAAATATATATTATGAAAATGTGTTTATTTGATATTGTACATCGCCTGTTCTCTATAAGATGTATCTAATGTGTGTCCAAATACACTAATTACCCGCATATGTCTTACTTTACGTAAAAATTCTTCTGATATTTATTACAGCTCCGTAGTTTCATTGCTAGCCCTTAACTTAAGAATATTATTTTTAAATAACTTTAATGTATAAATACAAATAACGATTTGTGTTTAGCAAGATTATGTTACTCCAGCAAAATTCAACGTAAAAATAATTACTCTGAAAAGTATCGAAAATCGAAATGGTGTAATTAAGTGTGTCTGGCTCACAGACACACCCCCAATGAAAGAACAGACCATTCAAAGCTTTTACTTGTTGTTAAACAAATGTTTAAACAACTCTCTTTAGGCCCGGCATGGCCAGGTGGATAAGGCGCTCGACTCGCAATCTGAGGGTCGCGGGTTCGAATCCCCGTTCCATCAAACATGCTCGCCCTTTCAGCCGTGGGGTGTTATAATGTGACGGTCAATCCCACTATTCGTTGGTAAAAGAAGT